TTACTACGGCCAATGGATTACTAGGGAATTCATAACCTTTTAACGATTTTAATACTCCAGGCAACAGTTGGAAGGTTAGACTCTTTCTGAGAACCGTATCCACTATCTTCTCAATGATAAATCTTTGTGCCGCTTTTAGCTGTACCACAGAAAACAAAGACAAGCCTTCTTCAAGCGCTTGCCAGAGGTCTCCCTCAAATCTTAAGTTAACATTTCTATCGACTTCGGCCATACACTATTAGTATGGTCAACTGCGGTAAGCTTAAGTTTTGTAAAGAGTGTTGTCGCGCAAAAGCAAGAAGGTGCATGCATTGCAGCTGGCTGGCATTTCCCATGATCAATCAACGTAGTTGCGTGGCCCGTGCAACAAATTTTCATGCTGTAGAAAGTATGAGAAGATAGAAAAAAGAAAAAACATACAAAAGGCTCACAGTATATGTGGAGTATATATGTAAGAGGTTCTGTAACTGCAGTGTAGGTGATGTGACAATTATTATTACACACTTAAATACTGCCATACGTTAATTCAACTTATGACACATTAATCTATTATTACCGTCTTAATGACGTGTTTGTGATTTGCTGAGAAGCTGAATCACAGTTCATCAACAAACTCTTGGACTCAAGCTTCTTTTCAGCGACGAACATCCAAACAATCTAAGATAAAAAAGTAAATTTATTGGTGTGGGCATTAATGGTTGCAAACTAAGGGGGCGATGGTAATAAAGATATTCAACATAATGAAATCCTGACTGCTTCATGATGACAAGGGCCTTGGCTTAAGCATCTGAGAGTTAGTGACAGAAATGTTGCTCTCATTCTTGTACTTTTAACAATGATGTTTCCAAGTCAGTGCAAGGCGTGGCGTATATATTACGTTACTAAACTACATGTCAAGTGTATTATTTTTATTCTTGCTTGGTAGCATGTCTCTAGTTCCATGCACACTGTCAACTGAGTCCCCATTCAGGTCTTAAAATGGAAAGCACAAGTAGAGCCAGAGAGGACCCATGCATTAACTTGCCTCGCACAGTGGATAACATTATTGAAGTTAAGACCACACTTGCTCTGACCTTGTAAGAGCATCAATTCAAAATAAAACCAACATTAGCCATAAAGCCTCAAACATTACATGAGGTATTTTTAATTATTACAATTATTATTATTATTATTATCTTCACTGCTACACCAATCACTGTTCTTAATGGTAGGGTTATATCAATGGGTGCCAGGGAGCTGGCAGATAGATGCCCATGGTCAGCCGCAGTGCTTGACAACGTATTTATCATTATCATACTTGTTATTGTTGTTGTTGCAATTTACCATACAGTCGTTCAAAGATTCTTGTAAATCGCACCCTTGAAAGTTTTAGCAACTTGTAAATCTTCTCTTCTCATCTCCCAGGAGAATGTACATTGCCTCCACAAGCAGTGCAAAATATTGGAGGTACTTTTTGGGTGACACCTTTGAGAGTTGGCAGAGAGTAGTATAATAGCCATGATGCTGAAGGAATAAACGAAGTGTGTGATATTCAGCGGGTTATGGTGCTATATAATAATATGGTGGTATATAATAATAATAATAACAACAATAATAATATTGATTTAGCCTACTTTTAATAGGAAATTAAAGATTGCATTAAGGGAATCTCAATTCCACTTTTAAATTTACTGTCCTTATATTTATTGTAATTGCTTATTCTGATGTCATTCAATTAAATAAATTCAGGTTAATTATTCTGCAGGTCCTGGTGTGAAAATTCTTGTTTTTGTTAACCCGTAAATCCAATTAAAAATAAAAAAAGTTATAACCTTCAAATGATGCAGGTTAGCCTCCAGGCTTCTTGGCAACCTGACAGTGAAGTCTGGTGGTTTCGTTTTTGGTAATCTCCTGTCAATGGTCTGAAACTGACAGGGCATTTTTCGTTGAAGAGGTTTTATGTACATCTCACCATTGGTTGAAAGCTTAAAATTTTCATGGGTTAGTGCTTTAGAGGAAAAGGGAACATGCTATTTCTAGAGTTAGAAAATGATACCTGGAGTGACAAAACGTTTCTTGTCAACTAAAATAAAATTTTTACATCACGATACCTTTCCGAAAGTTATATATTGGGGATTTACTAATCTCGCAAACTTAGGTAGTTGAGGGGTAATTAGCTCCGGGTCGCACTAGTTTTACGAAGAGACAATGTACTCATATGGTTGGATAAAATTGGCCACTATTGTGACGTATTTATTAATATAACAGTAAAAAGTCACGCCACGCTTAACAAACTAATCAGAGCGTGACGTGACATGGAAAAAATTAAGTAATTGAATGTCTCTTCGGAAAAGGTGGGGAAGAAATAAGCGCCACAAGGCACACAGCGTGTGACCACCCCACCAAGATCCGGAACTAAGAACCCCAAGGAGTATTAAACTGAAAACAGCGAGGATATAAGAAAATCCTGTAAAGTACGGTCATTTCCAGCAGCCCCTGACTGACCTAGTCATGAACCGCACGCGAACTGACATTAAAAACAGAGGTTAAATAACATAGCAATTCGTGCCAGGACCGTAGCTCCTTCGTAATACAGATAACATATTGATAAAGTAATACATGGGAACAGATTGGTAAAGTACATAGTAAGTGATAGCGGAAAGAGTCCACAGTGAAAAACCCTTTCAGTATGGCAGCCCCTGACTGACCCACGCATCAGAGAATCCACCGTGGCCCGTGAAAGCTAACCAGAGCTGAAGACAAAATATACTGGTCCCATAACGGATGATTAAATAGCCGTAGTGAAAATCACCACTGTATAGCAGCTCCTGACTGACCTATACAACGGAGATCCAACCGCGGCTTGACCTGCGTCTTTGAAACGTTTAAAAACAATTAGTTAGCCTTGAGCGAAGGCGGACGAATGTAAGTTCTAAAAGCGTCCGAACTCCATCTACCTAGGGCACGTATTTGCGAATCCGAAAAACCTTTCTCAGACGCATGGCACGCTGCACCAATGCGAAAGCTATGGCTCTTGTAGCGAGAACAATCAAGGCCGCAAAAGTTCAAAGCACGACGGAGCTCAGTGTTAAAATTATTTGTCGAGATTGCCCCGCCGGCTGCACACGTGAACAAGGGGCCTTTATGGTAACCCCTAAGTTTAATGTAGTCGATTAAGGTCTGCACGGGGCAAAACGTTTCAGAAGGTTCGCTTTCTATAGTTATGACAAACGGCCGATTATTCGTGTTGTGTTTAAACTTAGTGATCACAATCTTGACAGCCGTCACTCGAGAAGATTGTTTCAAAAAAGTGACTTGATCAAATTGCACAACGGTGTCAACTTGCTGTTTACTATTGCAAGATAATTCACCTATTCTAAAGAAACCATAAAATGCTGTCATGAACATTGCCCCGAACAGAGATCGACGATAGGCAGATGGGCTAGTATGCTGTAAAGCTCTAACTAATTCGTACAATAATGGACGTGAAATGGGCATACGAACATCGGCCTGACCACGGCGGCCGACGGCCACAAGAAGCTTTTCAACTAAAAATGATTTGGTCGGGTCGTAGTGGCCTTTGATCTTATGTACATATGCTATTGCTGACAGGTACGAGTTTATGGTAGCAGGAGCAAGGCCCTTGGCACATAAAAAGGAAATGAATAATGCGATACACGCGGTCGAAACAGGCAAATGTAAATCGGCACCCTGATAGCGGGTATAGAATTCAGTAAAGACAACCCAAGCACGTGAGTATTGTTTGCGAGACTGCTCCGACAGTGAGGAATGTAGTAATTCCTTTAACGTATCGACCACTTCTGCGGGAGAAGGGTCTCGGGAACATGAGTTGGCTCTGGGTCGGCATCTGGGAATGCTTTCCTGAAATCTACAATCTGTAAACGAGAAATTAAGTCCGCCCGGGTGTTGTCAACACCGGGTATATGATAAGCCCGAAACAAAATATTATGACGTAGTGATGTTAGGACAAGGTCACGTACTAAGATCATGATCATGGGGTGTTTTGAAGTCTGCTTATTGATAATGTCAACCAAAGCCGCATTATCAGTAAACAGAGAGACACATTGATTGCTCATTTGACATCCCCACACGTGGAGCGAGATAGTAATCGGAAAGAGCTCCAAAAATGCAATGTTCAATGATTTCCAATTGGCAGGCCACTCTCCGTAAAACCAATGTTTCCCAAAAAGTGCGCCATAGCCCTTTGAGCCCGCGGCGTCGGTGTAAAGGTTGAGAGGCGGTGAAACCTGCCACGGTTCGTCCAGAAAAAATGTACGGCCGTTAAAATCTCTTAAAAATTGAAGCCACACTAATAAATCTCGACGACAGGCTTCAGTAATCCGTATACGATGGCGAGGGAGACGGACACCCTTTGTGAGATCAACAAGCCTCCGAAGAAAGGCCCGACCAGGTAGAACAACTGAACAAGTAAAATTTAATAATCCAATCAAAGATTGAAGTTCTTTCAGAGTAGTTTTACGGCGTCTGTGCATGTCCAATAACTGAGCATTGCATTTTTGAAGCTTATCGTCCGGCAGACGCGCTTCCATGTTAATCGTGTCGAGTGTTATCCCCGCAAACTGTAAAGTGGTTGAAGGACCTTCCGTTTTTTCATGTGCTATAGGTACCCCTAAACAATCACATAGGCTCAAAAAGTTGTTTAAATCGGAGGCACATTTCCCTTGAGAGGTAGCAATAAACAAGAAATCATCCAGAATATGCAAAACACCGGAAACACAGAGATAATGTTTAGCAAGCCACTCGAGCGCAGTGCTAAAAGCTTCAAATATAGCGCAAGACGAAGAACAGCCCATGGGCAGACACCGGTCAAAGAAGTACGAATTATTCCATGTCATACCCAGTAAATGGTAGTCGTCAGGGTGAATCGGGATAATGCGGAAAGCTGATTTTATATCGGTCTTGGCCATGAAGCAACCCCTACCTAACGACTTAATGAGTGTAATAGCATCACCTATTGAAGCATATTGAACCGACGAAAATTGGTCCGGAATAAAATCATTCACCGACGATCCATCTGGGTATGACAAATGGTGTATAATACGAAATTCCCCTGGGGTTTTCTTTGGAACTACGCCTAAAGGTGAAGAAATAAAATTATCGAAAGGTGGACGAGAAAATGGACCTACAATTCTTCCAGCGCACCATTCTTTCTCAAGTTTAGCAGCTAAAATTTCAGGTTGATCCTTCGCACTGCGCAAATTTGAAGCAAGACGTAATTGGCTAGTACCAACAAACCCAACGCGAAATCCAAACGAAAAGCCATCAATCAAAAATTGCTTAAGACGGGGGTCGTATTGTTGTAAAAGGGGGCTAAGGGTGGATACTTTTACCGGCGTTACTGGCGGGCTGTTTATTATGTGATGGAGTTGCGATAGTTCTATCTCCGGCTGGTTTAGGAATGTTTGAGGCAGATTGACAGGACGTAGCTGCATGTCTACCACCACATTTGGAGCATTTATGGTCATATCTGCAGCCCGCACAGGGACGACCGGCGTTGAACGTGAAACACACCCCTCTGACCATTGATTGTTTTCCCCTGAACCTCGAGTTGGGTTTGTCGGTTGCAAAATACCCAGATTTGGCACGAAAAGTCACCGCACGATGCCATAACTCCCAATGTACCACTCCCCAAGGGTACGTTTGTGGGTTGCCTTGACGAAGATACCGGAACTGTTCATCGTAATAGTTCCAGTCCCCCCCACGTGTGGCGATGTCGCGCACTGTTTCGCAAAATTGCATCAAATTTGGCGTCTCTCTGGGGAATTTTTCGCAGTAGACTGCGACAAAAGAGTGGAAAGCCGACACCCACTCGTGAATAGACGTCAATTTCTTTGCATTGTTTACCGGTTCGAATGTAAAATTAGGGGTTTTAGACCCATTTCCGGCGGTGGGAGCGGTGATAGATAATGCGAACTTATCCGGATAAGGGGACGTATCTAGAAGAGAGCCAAAGTTGACGAATTCCTCCGCCCAGATCTTATTCTTTAGGCGTGCACTCAAGCGGCTACCTAAGGGCACACCTATACTAGAAAATAAAGGCGCACTGGGTAATGTCTCGCTACCTGACGACTCAACGGCCCCAACTGGAGTATTGGTAAGAGATTGCACATCGCGTTGCACTGCGTCGGCGACCAGATTGATGGAACGGGAAGAATTCTGGGCCGCGTTGGTCGACTGTATCGCCGTCTTCACTGCAGCTACAATAGACGAAACCATTGCATCGGAAAGGCCCTCCGATCCCGCACCAGATGTAGACGCCTCAACGGCCGCTTGGGAGGGGGGGATTTCGACCGGGTCGGGAACAAATTGTACGTTGACGGTATCATCTGCCGGTCCTGCTGTTCGTCGCGATTTCCTTCGTGGCGGCATGCTGATTAATAAGGCCTATAAAACTTAGCTAGAGTTAATTCGGACATGTTATAGGCAAAGTCGGGATTAGACAACAAGGAGAATCAAGGGGGCAGAATGCATTGTACGCTAATTCAAACATGCAGGATGCCCATTAACCAGCTACAACAATCGTATTTCATCAGATGTGATGTGAGAGCGTCAGTCACGGGCCGATCACATAGGTATCTATAAATACACATGTAAAAGCGTTAATAGCTGGAGTGAATTGGGCACGTCAACGACGGCCGGATTTGGTTGTCACTCAGGCAACATAACGCAAAAAATTCCAAAGACCATGATTGACATAAATCAGGGATGGGCATCACACAGGAATGCACAGAATCCCAAAGCAACTATTAAATTGCAACAAAAGCACATGGACAGAACATAGAAAGACACCAAAAGCCCACTGAACGCAACTCCTTGGCCAAGGCCAGAACTTGCCAAAAATTAAAACTGGTTGGGCGAGAAATTCGTTATGTTGTTATGCGTTTTAAACAATGCAGTACTGCCCCCCTTACACTCCTGTAGAGTTTATGCTGCCCTTCTGTATTTAAGTGGACACCATCGTATGACAAGTATGAACGGGAAGCCCGCCAAAATCCCCGATGCGTCCAATATATGGCAAAGGGGAGCGGTTCTAAGACCCCTTGAAGGTACTGCGCCAGGATTTGTACGTTTGCATTGAACGCCCCAACCGGGTGCCTTTTAACGGTTTGACCGACACAAACTAAGCGAACCCCGTACTCATTATGAAGTAAACAGACCAAATCCTCGATGGCAGAGCCAACAGATGCTGGAGAGGACCGACGGCGTGTGAGGTCGTTAGTACCGATTTGTAAAATTACAACATCAGGTTTAAAACGTTCTACTTCGGTTAAATCAAACCGCCTAACCTTATCGATTGTTCGACCCCCAACGCCATGCCAATGAATTGTAACCGGGGTTTTAATGTTTCAATTAAGGTTATATGTGGGACTATTCCTAATAATAAAGTCCCGGAGCCTACGTATAAAGGAGTGACCCAAAATCAGAACCCTCGGCTGTTCCATGCAGACAAAATAGAAAAACACAAAAGAACTTGCCTGAAAATTTGAACAGATAACTTGCCACACGATGGTGTAGAGGTAGAAAGGGGCCCTCGTATTTGCGCAACGTACTATAAAGTAATCCTCGATCACGTGTTCCCTAGTACCCAGTTCACGCAGCCAGTGCCTGATAACAACAGTTATCCCGGCGCAAAAATGTAATTATGTTTGGGACATAATTTTTTATATATTTTATGGCACCTCTTCTCCAATAAACAAATATTTTCCTCTGGCTGTTTTCGTTTATTGAGAAAACCACATCATCATCGTTTTGTTACACCAAGCTGTTCTCCATGCATGTGATCAATTACATAACCAGGAATAACATCGTGGTTTTGTAAAGCAAGAATGAAACTACATCCTTTGATCCCATTAACCTATGGTATTAAATCAGTCAAATATAATAGCGTTCTACGAAATGATACAAACAAACACAAAGATGTTTTTTCAGTTTAGTTGGTTTTTAGGTGTATGTACATTGTAATTTAACAAGCACCACTCTTCTTTCTTAATACATTTCTAGTAACTTTTCTTACTGCTGGGTTTAATTGCGCACTGTCCGCCCGATAGTAATTGTTCATTCAATGGTCACCTTTAACTGGGTAAATGACAGCAATCTTCTTAATTGGGCGGCTGTCTTCCTGAGACAGATTTTACCCATACATTTTAGGCTCATCCGTCCAGTAGATAACAGGTAAAAAAGCTCGTTGAGAATGAACATAAAAGTAAGGTCACTTCTGATAGAACTTACAAAAGAGGAAGAGACATTCTATAATGAAATCCAGTTGCCACAATGTGGATTCCCAAAAAGTTCGCTGTGTTTGCTTATCTACATTTTGTTGTCTCATGTCAATTTCCCTCCTAGCAATGTTTAATTTGCTCACGGCAAATTCAGTTTCGCTCAGGGCAATTTCAATTTCCTCTCACGGCTATCTCCATTAATTAGCCGACATGTCAGCGGAATTGCTAATAACCCTAATTACTAATCCCAGTAGATTTTGCGCCTAGAGTGCTTCCAGGGTCCTTGCTTTATAAAGGTCATGAGTATCAGGAAATTCTCTAAATGTTAAGTAAGAACCACATGCAAGTGAAAGCCGGAGCAGTGCAAGCCACACTGAAAAAGGGTACTCTTTGACCACCAAGTATTAAGAAAGACCATTGTGGACATAATAGATGATCCTGGATGGTCAGTTGGCTTCCTCAGCGTTTGACATACACTCCAGTAGAAGGGAATAGGCTGAGAGTACCTAGAAGCTAAGTGCAAGAAACTGCTTCCTGTGACCCACATCTAACTGATCAAGGATACCCTGACTCCAGCCAATAACTTTCCTCTTGCACTTCCCACACTCGAGATACTTGGTTACCAAGGAGTAGTAGCCATCCAGGTCAAGCACCTGTCTAACATGTTGGTACAGGCCCGCACTGGTAAGAGGGTGCTTGACACAATCATCATGTGGACAAAGCAACCTCACTTGCCATAGCTTCCTTGGCATCCTTAGTAGGAGGTGCCGTGTAAAGTACGCGTTTACAGTGGGACGCTGATGCACCCTTAACGACGGCTGGGGTGGATACCACCAAAACTTGATACCTTTGACATGTCAAGCTCTGCTTTGTCTTTACTGGAAGACTGTTTAAAAATTGCCTTGGAAACCCAAATGTGGTCTTCTTTGGGAAGGCTTTTTTTCTATCCCTCAGGCAAGGGGTAATCTGTGTATGACATTGATTTTCTCATAAGTTTATTATTATTATTATTATTTATTTTAATTATTCTTGTTTTTTAATATGATGATGATGATTATTATTACTATTATCATTAGTTCTTATTATTTATTATCATTATCAGTATTATTATTACTAGCTATTATATTTATCATATTTGGCCATATTTATATATCTGTACATCATGAATAACTTTTCATTGCATGATTAATATAAACTACTAGGGGAAAGAGAGGGAGAAATTTCAGAAATATGTTGGAAATAATTCTTTTAAAGAGAGCAGTTTTAGAATATTGACCTTTAGATGCACCAACTTGTTTCTCTTCTGTTTGAGGTTTTGGAGCAGTTTTTGGAAGAACAGATGAGCTATCTATGGCATTAGCTGTAGACAACAACAGTTCGTCGGAAACACTGTTTGTGTTCTCTGGGATTCTCAGTTGCGTGTCAGTGGGAACTGTTTCCTTTACAGATTTGCCTAAAAAATAAAATATTTGACTTTATTACTTCGATATATTCAAGTGACTTAATGAACGCAATTCAGTGAGTCGATCAACAGTACTATTTTTGATATACATTTACATTTCTTGACTGTTAAATCTTTTGCTACCTTTTTTTTGTTGAGTTCTTTTTGAAAAAAGTCTGAGAATAGAGAGAGAGAGAAAGAGAAGATGGGGCGGGGTTTAAAATAAGTGTCTTATTAAAAAGGTGTTGATAATGATGGCCTGTTTGTGTTTTCGATCACTGTAGCGTAACAAAAGAACGATGAATTTAGCTTGAATAGTTTGTTGTGATCGCTTTGCAATTTCTTGCGGGGATAACGAACTTTGTCCAACAAGCGAAGCCACAGCAGTTGTACTAGACGTGCGAGTCGATGTCTGCCTTGCAGCTGAGCTTGAAGTCGAAGCCAAAGCCGTTTGCTCTTTTGCCTTTTCTTTCTTCAACGCCAAGGCCTCTCTGCCTTCGGGGAAGGACTTAAAATATTCCTCGAAGGAATCCTTATTTACTGACAAGGGTGAACTCGTAGCTGTCTCACTGGACATGCTGTTCACAATCCATGCTGCATATCCAAGACCATTTTCTAAGAGTCAGTTGAAAGTCTTACCCCTGAATCTGCCAAACTTAAGTTCAAATTGGCCAAGAAGATCGGTTCAATTGCTCAGATTTCCACCAAGTCGTCTCACCTCACCTGGCTTCTTTGAAATGTATGCCTGATGAGCAGTCTAAGGAGTTTTAACAGTTTCAAGTAGTTGCTGGTAGTGGGGATTCCCTTTGCATTGCTGGAATTACTCAGCTACAAAAGAGACTGGGCATGAAATTTCTGCAAAGGCGGAGGGGATTTCTTATATTACCTTGTTCAGCAAGATTTGCTTCGAGTCTGTGAAGGTCAAAACGAACAAAGACACTCTCAAGCCACAGTAACACTGAAAAAATATCGGTTTATTTGCTCCGTAAAACCAGTAGATTGTTCAAGAGAAAAAAAATTGAACAAAATTATTAAAAAATACTTACATTCTCTACAGAGAAGCTCACTTATCACAAGAAGGCTACTTTCACGCTGTTGACGTCTTTTGATTCTAGCTATCAGAATTCCTTTTGTTTTTGCTTTCCTACTTTAATGGAGGAAGGCAACAAAGGTCAAGAATCAAAAGAATCAATTAGCACAATAACACAAGAACCTGTATGATTCTGCTTGGCATTTAGAAAGTCTAGAATTCGTATTCAAACGATGTCATATTGCAGCTGTTCTATTTACAAGTAAAAGGACAAGACGCTGAAATGTGATGTGTAACTATACAACAAAATAATCATCCCACATTAAAGGATGCCCTGTAAATTTAAAGAATACTAAAAGACTCTTCTTGAGGTAATTAATTTGCAAACGATGGCACTATGAGAACAATTGTGTTGAGTAAAAATATTTTGATATTGTAAGGTGTAAATATAGAAACACTGAGATTTTACTTTTGACTCAATGCTGATCAATTGGCAGGGTTTTAATTACAATCTATTTAACGGTGAGCTGTTGCCTTACAAATCGGCAACCGGTTATGTTAGTTTGAACATAACTATTGATTGTTTATTTTTTCTATCCTTCTGACTTTTTAAACATTGAGAGGCCCCAGTTCTCGGCCTGTTCTTTTTTAGTGGCACTCCTCTTTTCTCTTCCTGTAACTTCGGGTGCTTGCAGGAATTGGTTCTGCAGGTACTGCAATTGCAACAAGGGTTGCAGTTACAGGCCTGGATGGGCTCAGGACCATCACATTTGCTGAAGGCAACTGAGGTAATTTGGGTAATACTGAAGGCTTGGTTACCTTTCTTAAAGATGCTTGGCCTGCTGTGTTGAACGTATGTTTCTCTTGGTTTACACCTGTGTTAAGGGACTCTGGACGCTCTCTTGGTTGTGGCAATGTAGTATTAGTGGATGCCACTGGAGAAGGTAGATTAAAACCTTGTTTGAGGTTGTCCTCCTCCTGTTTCCTTGAATGCTTGTTATACCTAAAAGGCAATCATGAATACTGACCTCAANGGGCTCAGGACCATCACATTTGCTGAAGGCAACTGAGGTAATTTGGGTAATACTGAAGGCTTGGTTACCTTTCTTAAAGATGCTTGGCCTGCTGTGTTGAACGTATGTTTCTCTTGGTTTACACCTGTGTTAAGGGACTCTGGACGCTCTCTTGGTTGTGGCAATGTAGTATTAGTGGATGCCACTGGAGAAGGTAGATTAATACCTTGTTTGAGGTTGTCCTCCTCCTGTTTCCTTGAATGCTTGTTATACCTAAAAGGCAATCATGAATACTGACCTCAAGAACTCAATTAGAAACTCCCAGACTGAAATATGTAGTACTTATTTGGGATTTTGTTCTGATGAATTCTGATTGAATCAGTTTTTTTTGTTTAAATTGCTCATATAAGGGAATAAACGTCTTCAAGGTTTGTCATTGTAACTTACCACTGAATCAACGTCCTTTGGTTTATTTCAGCAAGTTGAATGCCAGTCTGCTGCATTACATGGGCATTATTAAGCACAGCTTCTTTGATTTTCTGGTGTGAATTTCCGATCAGTGTCCACCGCAATGTAGTGTTGCCACCTCTTCACACTGGTGAGGGGAAATTTGGGTAAGTTTTGTAATCACTGCTTCCATGTATCGGGTTCAGCCAGGCCGTGAAGCTAGACCACTGTTCTGCCCCAAGGAACGTCTCTTTGCTACTTGCACCAGGAACGACGATGGATTTCTTAGCAGCTTTAAACCTCCCCTGTCTGAGTTGTGGCTGGTATCATGGACTAAAGGTAATAGGTTGGCTGTCATACTCAAGTTCTTCCAACGTGCTACCAGCTGAGAAGGTTCTTGGTTTGATAAAGCTCCATTGCAATCCCTTAAGTTTACAAGAAAGTCGTCTAATGCCGTTACCCTGTCATAGCCAGGGATGTTCCTTGGGCCCACAGAATCGTCCTCTCCAGAATCCCCTGTTGGCTCTGTAAGAGTTTCAGGAACATGGAGGTCACCAGTGTAGGCCACAGTAGGATCTTCAGAGTCTGTGGTCGCATCCTGTAGACCAAGCCGATATAACTTTAGTTAATTCAAGGCCCTCAATTGTGATTGGATAGATCAATCATTTAGCTTTTCAGGTTTCGAATTTGGTGGTTCCACTGTAAGAAATTTAAGGCAATTCTTAATGAACGACTAGTCTGAGCAGGTAGATAAGTATCTTGTATCATTTAATTTTATTATTTTCTATTTTTGCTTTTATTAGAGCTTATGTCTGATTTATGGATTAAGTAAGGTGTGGTGTAAAATTCCTTAGTGTATTCAAGTGTTATGTAATAATTCTAACCTGAAACCCTTCATCTTCATCATCTCCATCTGGAACCTGCAGAGATGGTTCATTGTCCATGACAGAGCTGGCGTTCTGTAGCACTTGACCAGTCTGAGCATACAAGTACTCCACACCTATGAACTCTCCTGTGGGGAAAAAACATATATAATAAGTAGATATAAACTTTGATATTTACTCAAATTTTTTGAATATGTGATTTTGAATATAAATAAAACACTTTGGCCTTTCACACTCCCTTCCACTTGTAAATTCCAATAACCTGTCCTGGGATTTGAATATTTTTTGCAATCTCGAATTAAAAAAAATAAATGGAATATTTTTGCAATTACCTGTATACTTTTTTGGTCCTCTGAAGTTTGCAAACAGCTTTTTCCCTAGCACAATTTCACTTAGATTGTTAACGGCCATAGTCAGTGCAGAGTCATATGAAAGGGCTGAATTAGCTTCCGTAACTGCTGCCACTTGTCTGTATCAGTTCCATCTTGCCACACCTTCCAACAAGAAGGCATGAAAGTGTAGATCATTTGCACTAGTACCTTAATTGAAGAAAATAGAAGTATAATATAGGTATTAATGATGACATTAACAAATTTTAATATTGATAATAGAAACAACAAATAAATAACTGGAAATATTCTGTGCGTTTGACATGCACTCCAGTAGAAGGGAATAAGCTAAGACTACCTAGAAGCTAGGTGCAAGTAATGATCATGAACTAGACCTGACAGACTTGAAGTGAGAAAAACACACAGGCTGCAAAGGCATTGGAATACATGCCCAGGACCAAATAAGGTTTGGCGTTCAGATTTCCGATACTATTGGGTATCAGTTGGTTATCTCTTATATGTATAAAGATGTGTTTAATATACGAAACTGGTGTTTCCGAAACCGTCTGCTCTTGAATCCAACCAAGACCAAGCTCATGGTGCTTGGCAGTAGCCAATTGTTGCCTCCATTGCAAGACTTCAGTGTATCTCTACTATTAAAAGATATCTTTCCTACTCAAACGGCCAAGGACCTAGGTGTGACTTTAGACCCTTACTTGTTTTTCGATGAACATATAATCAACATGTTTCTACTCGTATGTCTCACCGTGGGCAAAAAAAAAAAAATGCGTAAAACACGCATTTGATAACAAGATTTTCTTGACTATCTTAAACACCTTGGTTTTCAGTAAATTATACCGTTGTTCAAATGCATGGGTAAATAGGTCAAGGAATAACATACAAGAGTTGCAAGCTGTGCAAGAATTTGCCTGCCATATTTTAAGTGGAACCTGCGAATACAATCATATCACTCCCTGTGTTAAAGAACTGAGATTGATACCTGTTGGTAGCGAGCCTTTCTATCGTAGCGCCATTATGGCATTGAAATGTACGTCGGGCTGTGCCCTATGAATATCTTTCCTCACAATTTATTAAATGTACAGAAGTCAGAAATCATAGAAGTTGCAATTGATAAAAACTGAACATGCCTCTTTTTAAAACAGCAAGTAAATAACGAACTTTTCATTACAGAACTGTTAGTTTATGGAATTCCCTTGACCCGTCTCTTAAACTTTGTAGGAATGTAGGACTTTTTAAACAGTCACTTAGATTTAAGTTATTGCAGGAACTATGTGTGACCTAATTTCCTCGGCTTTGAACATTTGTATGTGTTGTAGATTTCCACTATTACGAATGAATTTATCTATTACAGTCCTGTAGATGACTTTGCAGATGTATAAAGTTATTCTCCTAAAGTCCCGAAGATGACATATGCGCTACTAATATTGCTTAATCTATTTTTACTCACTGTCCACAGTTGTTAAACAAGTGGTGCTCTTTGTGGTGGTAAGAGCTTTTCAAAATGGTAGGGCAGCTTTATCAGGAGCAGCTGCTTCTCTTCACCCAATAGTGATGTCCATTTCAGTTTCTTTGAATCCTTTGTTCTCCTCACATTGAGGAAATTTCCCAGGGAAAGTACTGTGGTGAGGAAATGGATAGACTTTTTTTTTTCTGATGGGGGTTTCCCTTTGTTGTCAGCTGCATTTGATAAGAGGACAAATTAAATTATTAATGAGAATTTAGTGTGCAATTTTATAAACTTTTCACAACATGTGTACCATAAGAGGCCAAAGAAAAATATCATTCTTTCCTCATCTCATTTTACAACTTCAAGGTTTGGGCCTGTTTCTGGTCGATCCATTACTCTTAGCATTAGGTTAAGCTCGTTAACAATCATGCTGAATCTCAAATATTGGCTGGTGCTGGCACCCAGGTTGTCTGTGGCAATATGGACCAAGTTGTCCTTTTATGTTAGGCAATTGGTAATAACAGTATATGGAACATCCATGTTGCACCTAACGTTGAAGATCATTAGATACATGCATACTATATATTTTAAAGAAAGGCTTATAAATGATCAAGCAAAATCCTAAGGCAAGACTACATTTTGTGTGAAATTGGGAATTGTTTACATTAATGGAAATGGGAACTGCTGCGCTCAGCTTAGTTGATCCTCATACTATAGATTCTTTTTCCTTGTCTGCTATCCTTGCTAAATAAATTATTAAAAACTGAGACATTTGCCTTTTATTGGCAGGAGGTAAGTTGGTGAGATCTAGTAGACCTTATTTTGTTAGTAGAGTCTGACTGGTGGTGCTCAAAGTCACAACTTACAAAAGGATTTCAAGTGTTTCATCTGAAAGCGAAAATACGATTATTGGAAAATGAGGTCACAAGGGCAGTGGGGTAAGGGTTCTCAAATATTATACAAGTCTTACCGCAGGAGTTTCGGGATTGGGAAAATCCCTCAGGTCTTCCGATACCAGGGCACGTATCGCTGCCTTGATACCCTCTGGGTATACGTACGTCGGCACGGCCTTTCCGCGAAATCGGCCCTCCCCCACTTTGTTTCCAAACTGTTGAAGAAAATAGAGTAGAAGGGTATAAGATAGATAATAAGGACAAAAAACCTGGATAATGCATTGGCACTGACATCGAAAAGTAATCCACAAAACGCAAATCGAAGAAAGATCAAACTTTGATAGAGCCGTCCAAAAACAAAACTGTCCTCACGACCACTTAGCTCAAACGTGGTGTATCTTGTACAACAAATTGTTTCGTATAAACGCGCGTATAACAATCGAAAATAGTCAAGGGATCGCCGAGGGATCACCAAAAGATATACCTTGTAAACGGTCATTTGCAGTGAAAACTAGCGCAAAAATAATCGCACCATAAATGAATACCAAGCTGCAAAACACGTCACACGTGCCAGGCGAGAGCGGCAAAAAGCGCTCACAACCATGTATCAACAAACAATGGAAGGTTGAATGCAGAATTATACGTCTTTGTCATGAAGTTACATGGCATACAATAGAAACAACAAAGGAAACGTACCCATAAAATACCAAAAATGCGGCGAAAGAACCGCTTCCTGGCTTGCTCTGCAGTTTCATCCTGCTTTCTCGTGAATCTTTGAACGAGACGCATGAGGCCCAAAGGACCTGTCTGAAAACTAATTGGCAAACATATTACGTTAACCAAACCAAAAATCCTTAAAATCTCCGAAACTAACGAAACTGTAGGAAGGAAATTTACTAACCCGCTCTGTTTGAAGGCTTCATTGAGCTCATCAACTGCACGGTCTGCTGTAAAATCCTTAAAATCTCCGAAAATAACGAAACTGTATGAAGGAAATTTACTAACCCGCTCTGTTTGAAGGCTTGATTGAGCTCATCAACTGCACGGTCCGCCGCCATTGCAATGCATGCCAGATAGAAATAAACATATCAAATAACACGACTTTACTCCAACAAGCTGTCAACAGGTCCGTCCATGTGGAGTTAGATCGCCAGATAAACATGTTTTGGATGCAGTATGGTGTCTTCTTTTTCGCGCGAAAACAGCCTTGGAAACGAAAATTCTCTCGCTCATATCTCGTTTAATTTTTGTTATATCGACCTTAAATTTTGCAGGCAGATCCCTATTGGCATTGTCTTTGAACTGAGAAAAAATGACGGCGATCGGATATAGTCACTTTAGCCTCCAGGAATACCTTAACTGATGTTTTATTTAAATTGCAACAAATCGACGTACATACCATTCATTATTTGTTCAACACCATTCCCTTCATTGTTGTCCATTTCATTAACCGCAATTCTTTTAAAGATAGTTACATATTCAGATTACAGTGGAAAGTCTTGTCAGTGGGCATTCTGCAGACACAAAAAGGGTGTCTGCGACTGGAGTTATACTCACGTCAGAAAATTAATTACAGTTAGTTAACAGACTGTTTTATAAATAAAACAGTTGCAGATTGTACAACTGTTAGGACCGAAGTTTCTATTTGGTCATCAGTATTCATTGTACAAAAAGAATCTGTTATAATTGTATTGTTAGAGAGATTGAGATTCACGTTTACGCCAAACAGCAGACGTATATTTGTACCACATGACCATGCTTTTCCCTTACTTTCCCTTTCCTCATTATTGCTTCTACACAAAAATAAGTAGTTTTATGCCAGTTTTAACCATAGGAATTGTTCGGCACTGTTTTTATCTGCTTACTTTCTATTTTCAGAAATTGTGTACTTGAGTCTAATGTTTGCCTTTTGCAGTAAACGTGAACATTAAATCTCTCTTTTGAATTGTGCAGAAATCAAACTTTTAGTAGTATTATTCTACATATTTCAAGTGCAGCAATTTGTTTATACAAAATAAGAAAAGTAATTTTGCATTTTATGTATTACATCAATTAATTGCAGTCTACATTAATTGACGTTTATTTAAATCACGTTGAATCCACATACATACCATCCATTGGCTCCTTCTTAACAAAAAGGTTCAAATCCTTGAAAGAAAGTTTACACATCTAGATTACAGTGGACAGTCTTGTCAGTGGACACCCTCCAGACACACACAAAAAAGTTTTAAACTGCTGTATTCACTGTAAAATGATGTTGAATTTATATATATATAGATAGATAAAATGACGAAATTCAAATTGATCATCAACTAAAAAGTGCTCAATGGGTTTACCAGAGCTTTGAATAGATACGTAGACTTGAACTAGGTCAAAACCATTTACTTGCTACGCAGAGTTTCATCCTTCATGAGAAGCAATCATCAGGCAACAGTTGCCTGATGATTGCTTCTCATGAAACATGAAACTCTGAGTAGCAAGTAAATGGTTTTGACCTAGTTCAAGTCTACGTATCTAATCTATAATCTATGTACACATAAATAAAAAAAAATTAAAATATAAAAATTACAGCCACTGGGCAGTTTCCAGATATATAAATCTTGTAGCTTTAAATGGGTGCAATGTGTTGTACAAATCTACATTTAATTTTTGCAAAGAGCACTGAATTCCAGGCTCGACACTACTTTTGGGCCGCTGTTCCAGTGCTGCTACATTTTTTGTGGGATCTCTGGCCGCTTTGAACTAATATTAATGGCTCCAAGTAGACTGTATACTCACAAGGAATCAAAGTGAAGAGACTTCCCAATAGACTGAAGGATATTTATGAACTGTTTCCCAGCTCCATACGAGAAACAGCAGCCCAAACAGAAGAGGAATCTCGTTGAAGCAATTAGAGTTCCTAACACTCAATATCAGTGCCAAGATATGATGATCACATAACAGTTTGTGTTCATTAGCTTTTTGCACATTTCTCTCATGAGGGTTGCTTATTGCCAAGCACTCAACAATGTTTCTTTGACTGTCAGTCAGCAAAATTCTTGAATAGCAATGGGGTTGTCAGCTCATTGGCATCATTGGTCATGTAGCTTCCAACACCAACATTACAAATTTCTTTGAGGGTTTTGATTTTTTTATCAAAGTTGCTTTCTGTCGGTTAAAGGACGAATCTAAGCCTAAGAATTCAACAAAGTCTTAATCAGCTTTACCCGTTCTTGTGCTTCGGGTGTGAATTCTGATAAAAGTCTCTGCAAATTTAGTTTCCCTCACTGACCACCATAAGCTGCTCCCATATCTGCCGTCTCATGACTTCCTCATTAGCCAATAACTTGTTTTGAATATTCAAAATCTCAACTGGAAATAATTACTACGGATAAAATATATGTAATTGCCGCAATGAATAAATTATGAAAGACCAGGCCTTAAGGTGCCTTGAATAAAATCGTGATCAAATTCCAAACAGATTATTCATGTTTTTTTCTGAGTATGCCATGTGAAAACCGATAATTATTATGTTTTGAAATCTATTTTATAGAACACAAAAGGCCAACACTTATTTCGACAATAAGAAGATTACTTCAATATTTTTATGCGTACCTAAAAATGCCTCTATTTGCTGTAAATCCCTAGACGACAATCCAATTTGTGGTCTCATTTACATAAAGGTTGCTGTTGGCAGTCAAGGATATTTCTTAAATTCAAAGTAGCTGCATTATCTCCAGTTCCAATATGTATTGCATTTTCTTTTCAGACTACTGCTGATTTCAAATTAATTGTAAACACACTAAATTACTCCAAACCAGGTACAAGAAATGCATATGTTTTACCCTTGCATTTGGTTAGATAATGTTGGTGATAGCAAAAAGATAATTTCATCTTCTCTTATTCGCCTGAGACAATGTGAAAAACGTGCTAGATTGCTCTGATCAATAAGGAAGCAGAGTCTTTCCAAGGCCCAGATATGCCAGCTCTGTTCGACTTTATTTTTTTCCTTCTAGACAAATCCCATCGTTAAATTATGAATTGAGATTATGAATTGTAGACACGATCATTTAATTTCAAATGTGAGTGAACCAATTAATACTTAATTAAGTAAATAATAAATTGTTGATTTTTTACTTTGTTAAAAGAATAGGTAATGCCATGTACGTAACTGGAAATACCGTCTTGATTCTAAAAGTGTTATAAGTTATTGATTCTTACAAGAACTTAAAAGAGCCTTCACTTAACGCACTAGTTGCAAAACTAAAGAGGTCTTCATCTTATTGAATCTTCTTATTACTGTGAGATATACAGTCACACAGTTTCCACGTGAAAGTGTCGGACTTTGCCCCTCTCATGAGGGAATTCGAGTTATCACACAGTAATACAGTAAACAGGATTTTTAAAAAAACTCATGCGCACAATTTGCACCTGAAGATGTTGGACTTTGTCCCTTTTACAATTTGTACGTAAAGTAAACTAAATTGTTCACTAGAAAATTTGCTCAAATGATTTTAAGAAGTCACCTCGGCTTTACAATATCTGCAACTAAATTAG